GACCCTTTAACACTTTGCAGCGCTGTGAGGCCACCGGCGGCAGGCATGAAATCGAAGGGGTGTGTGTGTGTGCGCGGGCGCGCGCGCGCGCGTGTGTGTAGGTGGGCGGGTGCTGATTAGGTGGGTGGGTGTTTCATCGGCCAGCTGGCCGCGCAGTGGAAATCTCCGATGTCTTAGAGTCGCCGGTCGCATTCGCGCGCAGGTGCGCAGTGTGGTTTCGGGGATCGCCCGTCTGAAGAAATTGTTTGAGTGGTCCCCTAGTTGCAGAGCCGAAGGGATTCCAGCGAGAATAGCGGAGCCCAAGCGTAAGCGCCTGAGCGACAGCAGCGCACATGCAATGCTGGTGTGTCCGTTTGCGGGAATCCCCGCCGCAGTATCCCCATCTTGTGTACACCGTTGCTGTTGCTGTTCTTCTTGACCTGGTGCAGTAACACCGGATGGTTCTGTTTCTTGCCGGGAGATTAGCCCTTTTCTGCAGAAAAGGGTTGCACGGGTAGCTGCCTGTGAAGTAATTGCATGGGAGCGTGTTCAGGCCACGCCTGGTCATGTGCATCGAACAGGGCCTGTGCACAATCGAAGGGTCCAGCGTGGAAGACCACATCGCCATATGAGATGCCCGTGGTGCGCGGCCGCCCCTCTGTGCCCTGCACGCAAGCGTGGTGTGCGGGAAGCATGCGGCCAGAGCGTTACAGTATCAGAGCTGCTGGGGTGTTTGCTCACCAGTGCATCGTGCTATTTGCAACCGGGTTGGTGGTGTGCGCTGATGCGCACTGCAAGTCAGCTGCTTCTTGGGCTGCAGTGTGCCGATCGCGGTGGATTTAGCGCTGCAGTTGTGTCAGCCATAGCTTGAATTTTCATGTTCGCTCATGGCGCTGTATTCCATGTTACGACAGCGTGGAGTCAAATACTGTTGAATAATGACAGTAGAGCAACAGCAGTATCTACTGTTCAACATACAAGTTGTATGCATCGATGTGTACAACGACAGATACTACTGTTGCATACCAACAGGCTTCATCTTTTACGTTTGCGTCTCCATTTTTACGTTTAGTTTTTTCGGCGTAAAAACGCGCAAATAGAGAAACGGCCATATTTACGTATATCTACGGCTCGTCAACACGCCCATATTACACGATGACGTGCCAATCAACGATCAATCCTCCACTCTCTCCAGCACGGGCAATGCAGCGCACACATCACACTCAGCAAGGACAACGACGTCGCCGATCAAAATCATCTTGCGCATATTCAACCCGTCTAGATGCCACTTTCTAGACTCCCTAAGTCTGTATGTACTGTCTTTAAGTACACAGTTCTCATTTATACTCAATTTTACGGCTGTTTACCCGCAAAAACCTAGAAAACATTTTTAAATGTAAATAGCCGCAAATAGAACAGTATTTACGCCGTAAAGACCAAGCCTGCATACCAATATCGCTATGTAACGACTTAAATGAGCAGCTCTAGAGAAGTATTAAGCAGTAGTCAATATGACGTAGACATTTTGGTGGGGCTTCTTGCACCATCTCAAGCTAGGCCACCTCACGACATTGCGATGGCGAATTTAAGTTTTTGTTCGCCATTCACCAGCTCACGTGCTACGGTCATTGGACCTCCAGCACAGAACACACGCCAGGTTAATGTGGCTTCGCGACAATGCCGTAGTGACAGATTTTCAACCACAAAGTAGCTGCTCGTCCCCGACCCTCTGGCCTAGAGGGTCTGGAAGGCTAGAGCCTTCCAGAGCTGGAAAGCTCTGGAAAGCACCGCAGTGTTTCGCCATCTACCTGAACTCCAAGGGGATCACCAGGCCTTTAAACTTTTGCAGCATCTTCTCCCACTTATTTTTTCTTGTCGTTATATTTGTTTTCCACCTGACCGGTCTCCTGAACCCACCCAGCCATGTTCCCAGGACGACAAGACATTTGCAAACGTACAAAAACGTGTCCATCACAATCTGCTCACATACCCGAAGTCCCCGTACTTAACAGTTTGCCCTTTCGCTTCGCACATACTTCATGCCACTTTTCTCCTGTGACTCAGCCCTGAGTCAACCCCCTAAACCATTTGCTTCCTTCCACACCTTCCCTCTGTCTCCCTCAATTCAGCCGTACTCCACTTTCTAGGGAGGGAGGCCCGGGTGCGAAACAAGATAGGAAAAGGAGCGAAGTGGGAGCCTAAATAGCCGCCCCGGCTCAGCCCCGCCAAAGCCCGCCAAAGTCCAAGGGCGCCATACTGACGGCCCTTGGAAACCGCGTACTTTCACTGAACCAAGTCACTGGAGGGGCCAGAAACCCGTTTGAATTCAATTGCGACTGATTTGAATCATCAACGCAGCCCACCAACGTCGTCCTTGGTGGAAACGTATGAACAAAATAGTTAATTGTATTCCTCATCAACCTTCAAGCCGTTTAGGCAATGCAGGCTTGGTTTTTACGCCGTAAAAACTGATGGTATTTACGTCTTTACGTGTAAAAATAGTTTTTACGTTTTACACGTAAAAATGCGTAAAAATACGTATATACTTGGTAGTACAACGTACTACGTACTTCGAAGTACAACGCAAAAACTGCCTGGTTTACATAAGTACAGTACATACAGACTTACAGAGTCTGGAGAACGGTATCGAGACGCGTCTGGCGTACGCCTTGGGAGAGGCAGAAAACGAGTTTTTGTTCAACTTCATTATCGCCCTTGCCAAGGGCGAAGTGGACATTGTGTTGCCGGTGCTGGAGATGGCGCAGGTCTGATCATTGTACGCAACTTTCATCGTGTAACCTGGGTATCCCAGGGAGCCGCAAAAACGTACAAATAACCCTAAAATAGGCCTTTTGCAAATTTACGTTTTTGCACGTAAAAATGTAAAAGCAAAAGCATAAACGTAAACGTTGAAAAAAGCCTGAGGCAATGGATTGAGCTGTCTCAGTATGCAGAATTGCTCCAGCGCATGTGCACAAATCTAATGACATTGGCTTATTAAGCCATAACATCAATAATGTTGTGCATCGCTATTTTGTGTCTGGCATTGTGGCGCATACCGGGCCATCCCACACAGTTGGTTTTTCGGCATAATGCAGTGCAATCTTGGCACAGATGAGATAAAGGTGCGTCTTTCGCCAGGCACCTTTGACGCCATTCATTCTGGAGTAGCAAACATGAGGTTTTCTGGTCCGGAAATGGAGATGATCTCTTTTTGGCGCTCTTCTACCATTAATTGGGACACTGATTTTGATGCATGATGTTGTTCAAGCTCTGCTCTGCTGCAATCCGTTGCCAATTATTACCTTCAAGGTTTGCCAACCTTGGGCCCTGCCTGCCTCTTACAGAACCATCATGGAAAATTTTGTTTTTGACCGTCTGCTGGCCCATTCGGTGCGTGTATGTGCGGCTCGCCACACCGATCTTTCTGACGGGTATGACAGGCCCGCAGTGTGCTGTTCTCGTCTTGTGGTAGACCGTTGAGTCGAAGAATTAGACACACGACCAACGGCGATTTGAGCGTTACCTTCCATCGATTTTGCGACATTAAGGCAGTTGTTTAGACCTCTCCCCCTGCCCCCCCCGCCGTGGGCTGCCCACGGCTGACCAAGTGGCCTTGGCTAACCAAGGCTGCCGCAGCCTTGGTTAAGGTTGAATTGGGTGGCAAAATCAACATGGCGTCAACCCTTGTGTGAAGACTCTCGCCCTATCTTCAGGGGGATTGTCTGATACCTGTCATTTCCGGACATGAAGGGGGCTAGCGACCTAAAAGCCTAAATGCCTAAATGCCTAAAGCCGAAAAACCTAAAAACTTGAAACCCTGAAACTCTTTAACATCCTAGCACACGCTGGACCTGAAAATGACCTCCGCTAGTCCATGTTAAGAACTGATTGTATCGGACATTCTGTGCCGCATGCGCATTCACAAGCGCCAGGCACTCTGGCCAGCCCAACTGTGGAATGGTGGTGAGGCCCCCGCGCGAATGTGGGCATCGGTCCCAAGCAACTGACAGATGGGCGTGTGCCAAAGTCTACTTTATTTGGCGAGAACAACGCGAACAAAGAAGGCGTCTGGACAAGGCGTTTGCTGCGCAGGCCCCCGCACTGCTGATTGCGTCAACATCTGCATTTGTCTGTGGAGGTCGCTGGGACGCGCTGCATGCATGTAGGAGCGTCCTATGGCATCTGGCTTGTCGACTTGCTTGGAAATATGACTCAGCCCGTTGTGCGTCACCAAAACCAATGATCCCAAGTGGCGCTGCCCGGCGCGAGCATGCAGACACAAGCAAGCGCACCTGCTTGGGGTCCCCACCAAACAGGCGAACACCCGACGCATCCACCGATAGAGGACTTTATCTCTTTCTTGCACACAAGAGAATGAACAACATCCGTACTCGCCCAAGACCACGAACAGCTGGGCCGTCCCCTCTCTCAACCATCTCCCTCGCCATGTAACCCAGCGAGCCATTCACTACACCCTCCTGCTCGGCTCATGCCTTTGGTATTAAATATGGGTCAAGCAATGTTCTGCCCCACTTATGCGACGGTGGCAGCCACCAGTTCGACACCCGCGCGGCTCGGTTTTACATGCGGAGGCGCCAGAAAAGGGCGCCCACCCATCCGCAGCGTTGTTCTCTAGGTTATTTACACCACATCTATACTTGTACAGGCGACCGAAAAAGGGAAAAATAATGACGACTCCTTGCTCCAATACAAAAACTGCCGATAGCCAATACAGGTTAACAGGCGCACCACTGCCTGACAGCTGCAACGCCCGCACAACATCCCCCACAAACACAGCAACACCTGCCACACCGCTGGACTCGCTCCACAACACCTGCCAGGGAAAATTGCAACGGCAGCGCACTGCTGGAAAAGAATGCGTTCCGGCCCGGCAGTCCCTACCTATGTATAGCCAGCACTGCACGATCTACTAGCCAAGGCACGGCTGACGCAATACGGCAAGAAAAAAGGCCCCCACTTCCCAAAATTCTCAGCCAGGCCCTGCGCTTGGCCAATTCTCAGAAAGAAAGGGCAGCGTTTGAGCCGGCCCTTTCAGATCCAGCGTAAATGGGCTTCATGTTCGGGTGGTTGAATTTACAGGCACCCCCGAACTTGCATTCGTGCGTTTGTTTGTAATGCTCACAGACCTGCTGCCCGGGCCTAATGGGGAGCCCGTCCTCGTTCAAGCGCACGGCATATTCATCTGGGTGGTCAAAACGGCAACGCTCATGGTACTTGCAGAATCCAGTCTTCACGTAGAAGTCGCACACCTGTTGACCAGGCCTGTGCGGAAAGCTGAGGACTGTGCTCGTGTCGTTCTCATGGTCCTCTTCCCAGCCGACGACGGGCAGGTCCGGCCGCAGCTGGTTTGCTGACTTCGGTTTCACAGGGCTCTGCAGCTCCTTGTAGTCCTTGGGACCCGTTCGGGATCCCGGGGAACCGACACTGAGTTCACCGCTGTCCATCAGGCTGATAGACCTCTCCATCCCGACACCAGATGTCCACCTGGGCTCGCTCTTCGTGCGGACCCCATTTAAACCCCTGCTCGACAATCTGGCGCTCACTGGCGAAGTCGGCCCAGAGGGCGGATCCATCAGTTCTGTCAAACCGCTCTTCTTCGCACCTTCCTCCGGCGATGCCTGATCCAGGTTGATGATGTTGAGGACATCGTCCCATCGGGTGCCCGTTCCGCTCTTCAGCGGGCCGAGTTTTGGCGACAGCAGCCCGGACGAGGTCCTGCGGTCGTCTGCGATGGGAACCATCCTCTTGCCCAGGTTGAGGCCTGGAGAAAGCGATCCACCACCTCTCCGGGAGTCGTCACCCATCAACGCTCCGCGAGGTGGGGATAGGCCCTGGTCGGGCCTGCCGCGACCATCCTCTGCCATGGGACCCCTGAATTGTGGAATCACCAGGCCGGGTGGCAGCGGGCCAGACCTGCTGCGACCCTCCTCGGCGATGCTGATGGTTGGCTGGCCTTGGGAGGCCCCGATGGAGGGTGGAAGCAAGACAGACTTGCTGCGTCCATCCTCTGCCAGGCTGATGGTGCTGCGGGGAGGCGAGCCGCCAAAAGATGGGGGCAGCATGCTCGACCTGCTTCGGTCCTCGTCAAACAGGCTGATGTTCTTTGTCGGGGGGAGCCCAAGGCCAGGGGGCAAGGGGCCCGACCTGCTTCTGCTGCCCTCTGTCAAACTGATCGCTGGCCTTGGCCTCGACCTGGGCTTCTCTGGGCGCAGAGAGATTTCATCATCAGGCTGCCTGTTGGTTGGTGGCTTCTGACTTGGTGGCGAAACCCTCCCATTCGTGCCTGAGTCGACAGATGAAGCCCAAGCCTTGAAACCGGTGCTGGACTCGTCATTGGTGCTCTGTGGGAGCTCAGGGGCCAATGCAAACATGGAGGTCTGGCCGTGAGCAGCGCCTGTTCCAGAGTTGCCACCGCCTTGGCTGGCTGCATTCTGTGAGGGGGACTTCGCACAGCGCAGCTCCTCAGGAAAGTACTTGTCCAAGGGGGAATCCTGTGAGCAGTGCTCCAGGGCGAAAGCATATGTGGCGATCAACAACTCTGGAAAGCGTGATGTGAAGTACCTGACAATGTACAAACAACAGCCTCTCAGAATGCATAAGCGGAGAATCCAGAACGAGACATCCTTGCGAATGGGCAGTTGCCCCAGAGCCTTGATTTCACACAAGACTTCATATATTAATCGAAACCCATTATGACTAAAAGTCAGCAGACAACATATGCGTGCACAGCAGGTGGTGTCTGCCCACAAGTGGGAACGAAACACTGATTCTCAGTACAAGTGGAAAGGCCAACACATGAGGGCAAGACAAAATGTTTCATCAATGCTCCCCATTGCCAATTAATTGTGCATGATATTCTAGAAATATGTGTCGAGAAATGCCTGAAGGCCAACATAACAATCGGCTTTTTGTTCCATGATAACTGCACGAACTGAGCTCAGCCACTACCGGAAAAGAACGCACCCCAAGAAGCCCTCCGGAATGGGTCCCAGCAGCACTTTAAGGTCTTCTGACATCTCCCTAAAGTGGTTGTGTTTGTTCCTGATGACCCTCAGGAGGTCCCTCAGGCTAGTGTAGGTGTATTTGCGGTACTGCCCCAAGTTGGAGATCAATTTGGGGTCAATGCGTGCCCCCCAATTGCCACCAGTGGCATCCTTCACATAGCTCTCCAGCAGACGCAGCAGACTCTTGTCCTCTGCACGGTCTTCGTTTTCAATCCTAAGCAGCATCACAGATGGCCTTAAGCGATGACAAGCATCACACATGGCTTTCAGCAGCACACCCATTTATTTGCTTGCGTCAAGCACATCACAATAACACATTGGGAGAGAATGTCAGCTCTTATTCTCTGTTCCTTCTGGACATCAATACAGATTGTGTAACACGCAATAGATTCAGAGCCACGTGGCAATTCCAGCTACTCAATTGATGGCATGTACAAACACATCGTTCAAACTCCCATCGTTTACCATGTCAGGGCTACACGCACTGATGACTGGCAACCATCGTGCCAAACAGAGTCAAGGCACACAATGGCAACCCACCTGTCGCTGAGATCAATAAGGAACTGAAGCTGCTTCCGCTTGGTCCACCAGAAGGGGTGTGCAAGTACCGTTTTCATGTTCGGCCGCTTGCTTGGCTCGCTCTCAAGCATGCCCGAAATCAGGTGCTTGGCCAAGGGGAGCTTGTCCAGCCCGCTCAGCTCAGGGTCGCCCTTTAGGATCTTGGGGTCCCGTCCATAGCTCTGGCTCCCAAACGGGTGGCCACCCGCTGTCAGGCAATAGTGGATGACGCACCCCAAGGAGAAGACGTCCATCGACTTGGTCTGCCGGGACGGGATGCCATCTTTGATCTTTAGCTGCTCCGGTGCCTGCCAGCCTGAGCTGCCACCTGCAACAATAACAATAAACCAGGCGGAGGTGTCAGCATTGCACATCTCCACCACAAGCGTGCTTCCATTCCTAGCATTGGGGCACACACACACACACACACACACACACAATGTGGCAAACCATGGCACGAATGATGCAAAAAGCCCTTCATTCCTTACAATATGGTCACAATTGGACATCTCCACTGCAAGGACAACGGCGAAATCCTGGATTCAAAACTTGGTGCAGAAGTTGGAAAGAAGTGCACCTTTACTCTCTGTGCCAACATCTGCCCACGGCAGGTGCGCAACTGCAGTCAGCAGTTTGGCAACCAGATGGCAGGGGGATCCAAAGCCACATTCAGTAATCGTCTGCAGGATACTCATTTGGTCTTTAGATACGCACTTAAACAAAGAAATTTAGCAAGCGAATCCACCAACCAGGCAGATGTATTCTCGATGGCCCCTGAGCTCATATCAGCCATTTACCCCAGCCTAAGGGGATACAGAGCAATGGTGGTGGGCACCATTACATTGTGAATTGCACAGTTTCCCCACAACACTTCTACCAGCCCTCTTTTCCTCACCTGGGCCTGCACTGAAGAAAGAACTCTGGTCCTTAACCAACCGCCTGCCAAGCCCCATGTCAGACAATTTGGCCCTTCCATCCTTTATCAGCACATTGTGCGGCTTGATGTCCCGGTGCACGATTCCCCGTGCATGAATAAAAGCCAGCCCACAGGCAATGTCGTTGACAAGCTTCAAACAGTACTCAGTTGGCATCCCATCCCTAGTGTGCAGCAGTTCACCACCATCTGCAAGCACAGCAAGGGAAATGTACAGATAAGAACACAAGTACATACTAAGTCAAATACTACATCGATAAACGAGTGTTTTCATTATTATCCATTCATCAACTGCTTGTTTGCCTGTTCGTTTTGTTTATTGTTTATTCTTTTATTCATTTATTTACTTATCTATCCACTTACAAACTTAAAACAAGGCCAAACGCTGCCCCTTTCCCAGCTTTGTATTTGCAACAAAACTCTCTGCTGAAACTGCAGGCCCCCCAGTGATTGTTCTTCCCTTGTTCCCATGTTCTTCCCTCGAGTATTCCCTTGAGTACCCATTCCTCGGACACACGGCAAACAATCAATTCAACCAAGCGGCAACATCAGGGACACAGATAGAACCAATACCCTGGGTAAGGTCGCCCTCTCAATGACCTTGGCTGACAATGGCAGCAAAACATGCGCAACGATGGCTAATTATGTTCCAGTGTCTTTTCCGGTTAAACTGTACTTACGGCAGGTTGACTGCCAGGGGCGGCATGAACATAGTGGGGATGCTGATGTGGATGCTGCTGCCCTTCGACACCTTCCAGGTGCTTGTGGCAGTGTAGCGCCATTGCATTTTGTCCATCAGGAATACACTGCCTTGTACGGATAACTCCCAGATTGAGAACAACCAAGCACAAGTATGGGTTCAAGGTGAACGTTTCCTACACCTTGTGAAAGAAACTCCTAAACTCCCGCCAATTCTCTCAAGCAAAAGAGTGTTCCAGTGCAGACTGCACCAATATCCTAGGTGCTCTGAATTCCTTAACGTCGCTTAAGATCTGAAAGGGATCCCACATTCGAAACTGCAACGGCTGTCACAGATGTATTCCAATGACACCTTATGGTGATACTGCAAACATCACTGCATTGAGCTTATCTGTTGATGTTTGCATTTGTTGATCGTGTGTGCAGCATAGCAGACACAGCTTCCCACTTAAACCTGCGCAGCCCTTACCTTTTGAGCTCACCAATGTGGACAAGTTCATCTGACACTTCTCCAGTGCAAGGTAGACAAACTCGTCATCGGACTCCATCGCGAACAGACGAACCAAGTTGGGGTGCTCATCGGACAGGATGAGGATGTCCTTCTCATTCGCTGCGATGTCAGCAAACTCCTTCAATACCCTCTTGACTGCAACAGGTCGTCCCAAGAAATTGCCCTCATAGACAACAGTGCCTGCAGCAGCACAACGCCAAGCATTCAGCATGAGGCTTACAGCCAATACACGAGGTGTGCTCTCTTTCACAGTACGTCGAGCAGCATGACTTTCCCTGTAACCATTCCCACGAATTTGAGTGTTGATCAACCATGATGCACTCTCCAGCATACTGGCGGCACAGTGCCCATTCTTGTTATGGGGGGAGGCTCTGGTATGCGCGGTACAGAATAAGCTTTCAGCAAATGTACTCAAACACCCATATTTGGATTTGCACCATGTGGATGTCAGCTGATTTTCTTAGAGCAGTTTGGGTGAGTGGGCAGATCAAGAAGAAGACCAGCTGTTGATGTGCAAGTCACTGCTTGCATATGGTATGCACGTGCAATCGCTATAAACCTGTAAGAAGCATGGTACCTGGGAGCTGCTTTACACATTCATCAGCACTATTCATAGCCTACACAAGATGGAAGTGCATATGCATATCCATGAATATTAACAGAACTCCCAAATATCTGTAAATGCGAAATTACAACAAAGGGGAAGCATACTCAAGGAGCAATTCTTCAACGTATTCTAGCATGGATCGTCAGAGGGTGCATTTACTGATATCCCACAGGGTCAAATTGCACAGCAACATGCACTGGGAGCTGCAACAGAACAAGATCTACCCTGCACTGCAACAGAAACACTTCACTAAACCGGTTACCCTGGGATGTACACAGCATGAGACCCACTCCACAATTGGATAAAAGAGTGACAAATTGAGATAACACAATTGTATGCAAACAGACATTCAGGATGAATTGAGCTGTCATCACACTTGCATGGCCTCAGTCAAACTGACCGTCACAGCCCTTCAACACTCACACACTGTCTTGCCCAATTCGACAAATGTAAGCAACACAAGCCCCCTGGTCAAGATCTCGATAACGATAAGACATGACAAACTCTGGACAAGGCTGAGGCAAGCTGTGTGGTAACATCTGTCGATGCCACTCACCGCCAGCTCCAACGCCCATGACTTCAGGGCCTACTTGCAGCTGACCAATGTGAACAACACCATCCTGCCCTCTGGAGCGGGTGTTGCTTGTAGACCCAGACAGGTTAGGATCGCTGCCAGAGGAGAAATTTGAGCTGGATGCACTCGTTGCAAATGCAGAGCCATCAGTTTGAGCAGAAAGGTCTAAAATCAAAGCACACCCCAAATCAGCAACTTTCAAATGCCTGCATGAATGACGTTGCTGCCAATAAATCTGTCCGTGATGGATGCCTTTTTGTCTACATTTCCAATCAACTGGCAGCTATAAAACATCATGCCACACTAGGTTTCATGCAGAAAAGCAGAAAATGAAAATCTGCGCATGATGCCTTGCACAAGCTCAGCCATGGCAAGGCACTGGTGGCCACTGTCGTAATCAATGGATGTGCCATACATTAGTAACCCAGAATGGACAGCAAAGGAAAGCAGTTCAGTTCAGTGAATGCCCATGTTATGGCAATCCTGCACAGAAACTGCCACTTGACTGAAAGTACCACCACGTAGATTTATCTGCATAAAAATGTGCAAATGAATCCATCGCCTCTGCTATTACTGGTGTCACGCTGCTTCTGCAACAGGCTCCTACCACGTGACCGAACGGAAGCTGTGTTGCTCCCTCCAGGCACTCCAACAGGCTCCGCTGCCTTGACATTTTGTGTCTTAAAGAAAATTGCTCCAACCACCATTGCTGTAAGCGTAAAGAACCCCATGACGTAGTTCATGAGTCTCTCCAAAGGTGCCTGCAGCACACACTGAACTAATCAGCTTCCAAGAGATCAGGATTTCTGAACCACGCAGGATCTCACCCATCCGTAGTGGATTCATGGGCCATGCATGGTCCTGCTATGGCCCATGACAAACATGCTGCTCAACCTAGTCACAAAAGCCAATCTCTAGAACACAAGCTGCCTCCCCTCCACAAAAATCAGCAAGCTGTTCTGCACCTTTGTGGTAAACACGGCTATGTTTTTTTTTCCCTGCATTTCAACACCAGGAACAGTCACAACACTGCGCATTCTGCCACAAGACAGTCGTCCACACCCCATGCACCATGAGCCCAGCCCATCATGCGCTACCGCTGGGATATGATGAGACAGACCACAGACCGCCTTTACGAACCCCTGTATTTCTTCCTTATCTGTCCCATATCTCGATGTATCGTCCTGATATTATGTAGTCACATTCCTTCTCGCTTCCCTTCAGCTTCAATTGGAGAATGCTGGCCCAACTGTGAGGTTAAGATTCCAAGTGTTGGACACATAGGAGATTCACTACAGCGGTCCAGAGATACAGTGCTACTATGCATTAAACTTCCAAATGGTCTGTGGCAATCTCACCACTGAGGTGCCTTGAGTGGCTGACAGGTAATCCTGGCTGGCCCCTCCACGTGCTGGAGGCTTGACTGCAGGCAGGCAACTCAGATCCTTCAGGCTGCCTGAGCTCCCCTGCTCTACTGGCCACATCGTCCACTGGCTCTCATCCTCAATAGGGACCACCGCCGTTGAGGCCGCCTCAGGATTCCTATTCCCAAGCGCAGCCCTCAAAGCCGCTGCTGGCGCTGGCAGCGCATACAACCCACCGCCTGCAATAGCTCCGATGAATATGTGCTCCTCGTTGCTCGACCACACGCCGGGGGAAGACGCCAGGGGGGGCGGGGAAAGGCCATAGTCAGGCGACCACAAAGGTAGGACGTCTTGACCTGCTCAGACAGTGGGGCATCAGTCCAATCACAATTCCGAATTCAGGTTTTCTCCTGAATAAAGGCCCCAATTGCAGACCAGCAACACCATGTTCAGCACCAGGTCACCACCAAACAACATCGGCATAGATCAAACATGTGCAATGTACACGGGAAGCAATTCTGTTGGTAATGAGGTTTTGCTGAATGGCGCAAATCGTACCTCCGCCTTTCAGAGTGTACGCCACGACAGGAGGCGTGGGGAAACTGATGTCCCATTTCGCCAAACCGGAGATCGGGTCCTTGGCATGGAGAGAATAATCTGCTCCCCATTCCAGGCTTGGAGCATCTGAACCGCCACACAAGCACACATCAGAGTCAGGTGCAGCCTCGATAGTCAAGTGCAAATGCTGCCTTTCAGCAGCGCTGTGGCCAGAGCCAAGTGCAACAGCCTCTGAGCCGGTTGGATTGCTCTTTACAACCGCAGTAGAACTGCAACTAATATTGGAACCAACAAATGTGGACGCCAGCAGGGCCCACCAAGCAGTCCGGCATGTTCTGGAGCACTGCTTCTCACATTTCTACAATTCACGCAACCAAAGCGGACTGCAAACACAAAAAAGTGGTATGTCCTTGTCTGGTTGCCTCGCTGCCCAACATCAGTTGTACCTAACCCACGCTTGCACATCAAGGGCCACCTGGACATCTCTCTCAACAGACATGAGGTGCTGGTCAACCTACCAGGGGAAGAGCTGGCACTCTCAGGTGCAGCTTTTCCAGATAGAAACCCTGCCACTGCCTTCTCATCCTTTACGATTGCCATGTCCAGCTGATGCATATGAGAGAATGACACATTCCATTGCACCACCCCAGTTGCATAGTCTACTGCCTGGATGACATAATCACGCCGTCCCATGGGCAGGATAGATGACCTGGAGATCTCCTTGTTCATACCTGCACAATCCAGCAACTCTATGTGACCACCAAGCAATAGGGCACAAATCCAGTGCCCATGTTACATCCATTGACACCTTCCCTTCAACTTGCTACAACATGTTACACCACATTGAGACTTGTAGCTCCTGTCACAGAGAGTGGCACATCAAAAAGCAGTTTGGAATGTTTGTTGAGGACAACAGGCTCATCAGGAACAAGAAGTTGTGCTTGCTGACAGCACTGGCCCGTAGGTGAGAATGCACCTGTCCTGTATAAACAAATGCACCCGATGGGCAGTTGAGCGAAAGAACCAAGGATTGGCCAGCCATACCAACCAACTGTGCAAATGTGCTGTTCCATGTTTCCTACTGCATTTGACTAGCAGTAAATTGCATGAATACAAGCGCATGGAAGGCGCCGGGCTCCGGCCTTGTTGCATGCATACATATTCTGTGCTGTACAGCACAAACACACAGCGCGGGTTGATCACTGGCATTTCTCCTGTGCAAATTGGGCAGGGTATGGCATCAAGCTTGAATGGAATATGAACACAAACTGCTTCAACACTGCTGAGCGCTTGATTGGGTGCTGGGGTGCTTGAGTCTGTTTCCTCATGTGTTCCTGATGAATGCAACAAATGGCACACCAAAATAACTGTGGTGACAACAAGCACATCCTGATAACAAGCACATCGTGACAATCTGGCCAGTTCCCAAGGCTGAAAGCAAAACGGCTTACCTCCCAAGTTGCTGAATTGGTCGGCATCGACGACGTCCTTGCTGGAAAAGGTACGCAAGAGCTCTCCTGACTGAATATCTACATAGAACACGGTAGAGCTCTGTGACCCCAATATCATGGAGCCATCATCACTCAAAGATGGTGAGTTCTCCACCAGCTCCGGTACAGTGATTCCCAGTCGCTGCAGCGCAGGGCGCACAAGAGTTCATGCTGCGATCATTAGCCGGGGATGCGACAAGGCCAGATAAATACTCCACTGGATTCCAACCTCGGAGTTCCAATACAGGCACCGCCAAGAGATGAACACACAGAGAACGCCTTGCAGCGCGCTTTTTATAGTGCCTGCCAAAATTGGAAGGTGCAGCGCACTTAAAGCAGCACCGGACTGCAGCATGCCAAACAGGCTCCAAACAAGTAGTGCCACAGCCGAATAATCGCACCTCGATCTTTGCATTCGCTCCCCCGCTCTGCACCCTGTACAGTGTCCCATCCGCTCCGGGGAAGACGCGGGCCATGGGCACGCCATCGCCCGCCTGGCTGCTGCCGGAGGACACCAACGGTGAGCCGGAGTCGAACGACCACAAGATATGCCCGGTTTCCAGCTCCAGCGCCGTCACAGTACCGTCTAATTTACCGACCAGCAGGACATCGTCCTGCGAGCCTGACAGCAGGCGGCGCCTGAGCGAACCACACAACAAGAAGATCAGCCCTCGATTGGGCCCAGCATCGGCGCACCGCTTCCACTGCCGCCACAGCACTCGGTCAGATGAGCCAATGCCCGTGCCACCTGTCACCTCACGCGAGGGCCGCATCCCAGAAGGGCCGGGCGCCCCGGTCCCCGACGGCCGCTTCGCCACCCCGCCGCGTCAATCGCCGCTCTCGATCGAGGCGGCCTGCACTGTGGACGCCGCGGGCGCCGGGGCGCGCAGCACGCATCCCTTCTGCCCCACTGGTTCCAGGAGGTTCTCCGCCGAAGATGGAGCGCGCCATCGCCGGCGGCACCGCGGCCGGCCCCGTCCCGACAACGGGCCGAAACAGATCACCCGAGAGCGGAGCCCAGGCGCCCAACACCCCCCTTCCGCCAATCCCTTCCCCAGAACATCTCACTGCCCCCACTTCCCAGCAAACAATCATGCCCACCCCACGGCCCGCCATTCCGATCAGCCGCCCAATCACCCCTCCCAGCCCCTCCGCGCGAGTGCCCACCGCACTCGCTCACCGCCGCCTGGCCGGCGGGGCCCCGCCGGCCACCGGCCCCTCCCCCTTTCCCCCCACAGTACCGGAAGCCGCAGCGCAGCCCCAAACTCGGCCCGTAGCCTTGCCCCCACATAAGGGTCTACACCCACACTGCCGACTCCTGTGACCGCTGTAAGGCAATTCATCCAGCTGACGAAGGCCGCAGGGGCATACAGCGGATCCCGTCCCCCCTGCGGCGCTCCAAGGTGCGCCAAGGTCGCCAGGAACGCCGTCAGGCGACGGCCATTCCGACGTCGAAGACCGGGGCCTCGAACCAACGCCCCGGGCATCGGCGACCGCAGAATCCGACCGCATGGCCCCACCCTTGGGGCCCGACGCCCACGCGCGTCCGCCAAGGTCAGAACCCCGTCCCCCCAGCCAGCCAGCGCCATCCCGGAGCCCGCTCACCCATGCCGGGGCCTCAGGCCGCCGTCCGCGTAGGGCTCGATCCCCAGCACAGCGTCCGCCGGGCCCTCCCGGCCGCCCGCCCCTCCCCTGTCGATCTCCTTCTGGCCGGCCACCGCCAGCAGGCAGAGCAGCACCAGGCCCGCCCGGAACATCCGGGCGGCGCCGCGCGCCCTGGCGCTCAGCATCGCCTCCGCGCCGGCCAGGCGATGCCGCCGCGGCGTGCGTGGGCCTCCGGAGGCTCGGGTGCGGGGGCTGCGCCGAGCGTTGCGCGCTTTCCGGGCCCGGCGTGCGTCGCTGCGCGGTCGTCTAAGAGTCCCGCTATCGGGAAAAGCGGACCGTATGGAGCCCTCGCGGCCAATCAACCATGGGGAGGGTGGCCAGGGCAGAGCTGACAATGACGAGGGGGGGGCAAATTTAACGGGACAACGGCGGTGAAGCGACGCTGACCCGCGAGCAAGGACACCTGGCAGTACACTGGCGTTGGCATGTGGGCGCCAGTGCGTCACCCGGCTGTGTTCCAGTAACTTCAGTTTGTTTATTCTTTACTTATCTTCCTTTGGGTCATTTCCCCACGAGTTTTTTTTCGCGCTGGGCGCCTTGACCGGCTGTTCCGACTTCTTCATTGTGCGTGCGCTTCCCTCGGCAAATTCGCTGGGAGCCAGCCGCGTGGATTGATCCATCGACAGTGAACTCAGTGTTTAGCAGTTGTGCTGTGGGTTTGTCATGTGTTAAAACTGCCGTTAGTCATGAGCACCGGCACATCATAGGCGGGCTCATGACCTACATAGGGCAGCTGATTGGGCCACTATCAAACAGCCAGTCAGGGTGAACAAGAAAGAAAAAAGGAAGCCAGCAAAGAAAAAATAGATATGCGTTCACAAAAAGAACAAGGGAGAGCCACTATGCAACCGGCATATCAAGAAAATATCAAAGGCTTGCTGTATCGTTACAATTTATTATGCTTAACGTGCTGCCTGGACAATGTTTGTAGGGAGAAGACCAAGGAAGCAAGGTCAGTCACAACCCCTCAGTGGCTGATCTGGGCATGATGAAGAACACTGATGCCACCTGATTGGGGCCTGATGGATCATAAATAGGATTGCTGGAAGTTTCGGGGAAAGCGGTGAATAGTTGCTTGAGAAAGACAGCGTCAGGAAACTGAATTGGGTGGACACAAGCTATCTTAAGTTCTCAGAACGTCCGAGGGTTTGATCTTCACGATCGTTTGATGTTGTGCATTATAATTGTAGTCTGCCTAAGGATTTGGCCAAAGAAGGATAACTGGCTGTGTGCGTGAATGGGCCGCCTTGAGGCGTTCAGCCCAGGGATATCAACAGGACACATGGGCAAAAACTGGATAAAGAGAGTTGCCCTGTGAGCATGCCATTAATCGGCTGTGAAACAGTTAAAGGGATTCTGCCGCTTATAAACTAACATAACTGAAAAAGGCGTTTACCAAAACTTGATGATAGCCCCGGCTAGCTTCCACACTAATAGTAGGTCGTTACGGTTGAAGAAAAGAAAGGGGGTACAGATAGTACATGACGATATAACCAAAGATGAGCAGGATCATCAGGGATAGCTCAGACAAGTCCCTCACTCCCTGAAGTAGACGTAGGACAATGTCAATACGATGAACAGGAACATATGATAGCAAAGGGAAAGGCCTTGACAGAATGTGATGTGTAGTTTGTTAAAATGAGATTTCGACTGTCTGGAATAGCTCGCCTTGACGGTGACGCATTGCTGGGATTGTGTGAGGGCAACAATCAGCATTTTAAAAGGATTACTAGTAGATGGGTATCAAACCCCGTGTTGGTAACACACGGTAGCTTTTGGGTCAGGTGGGAGCTGCGCTTGATGAGTTTGGGAACGTTTGCATAAAGGCTTAAGCGCTGTGGGAACCTTGGGACCAATGACAATGCGGACGGGATACAAACATTCGAACACAAGTTGGCGGGTATGCCAGAATTGGGGATGACTCACCAATTTCTGGCATGACCCTTGGGATTCCCGGGCGGGCACCTATAAATACGGGTGTCCTCCGCCCAGTTTGTAATCGTGAGTTTTCCCGTTCCTTGGGTCCGAGTTTGGACCAACGGGTGTTGGAGTTGCCGTCAAGGCTCCACGCCCCTTACAACTGGTTTCGGAGCCAGAGGAGCTGCCGAGGACACGAAGGCGCTCCAAGTTGACCTAACCCACGACCAGAGGCGGCAGGGCCTCAAGGACGTGAGCAAGGCGGTTTACACTCGAAGGGTAGCGCGGCGGGACGTCACGAAGTCGTCAACTGCGTGGGAGGCCCCGAGAGGAGCGAGTTGGAAGTTCCGTTGTGCGCCGGAGTGCGACAACAAAGAGGCCGCCCCGAGGGCGCTGAAGGCTGAGCGTTCCAAGGACGTCAGCGACAAGGCCTGCCCCGAGGGCACCCGTTTGAAGTTCCACTGTGCGCCGGAGTGCGGCAGCGAGGAGGCCGCCCCGAGGGCGCTGAAGATTGGACGTCCCGAGGACGACGATCGTGTGGCCTGCCCCGAGGGCATTCCGAAGAAGGTTTTAGAAGACAAGAAACTACAGTACTGAAGGTCGAAGGGTAAAGGCACGGCTGGGCGTCGAGAAGACGTCAGTTATGCGGGCTACCAAGCGACAGAAGTGGGGGTACGAGGGCAACTTGAGGGCGACAGACCTCCGCGGCAATTTGGAGAACCGCGTGGCTGCCGCATCCCAATAAAGCAAGGCCAACGTGTACAAGTGGCAGGGACCAAAGTGCATTGGGAACCTGACCACCGAAATGGGAGAGACAAGCCATGGAAAAGGGTAGGAGGAAGAAGCGGTGAAGAACGAAATGTTACAATGGCGTGGAAGGCAAGCGCGGTGGTGGAGCGTGGTTCATGAGATGGACCTGTATGAGGAACCACGCAGCTGGAAGGAGTATGACCAGGTGGTAGCCGACTACAAACAATGGGAAGAAGCGCAGAGAACAAGTGATGAAGCCGGCAGCTGCAATTCCACGACAACCAATGAGATAAACAGAATACGACAACAAAAAACGAGTCTACTGCGTTTCAAGGGGACGCTGGGTGGAAAGAAGGTGTTGGTTTTGATCGACAGTGGAGCCACTGGAAACTTCATCAGTCAGGACTTCTGTGAGAGGAACGGCATCCGCTGGAAAGAGACGGGTAAGACGCAGACGTTGCACATGGCGGATGGGTCGACACGACTTGAACCGGAGCGAGAGGTCAAGACTTACAAACTGCGCATCAACGAGTTCAAATGCCATCCCACGTTCCAAGTCACGAAGTTGGGACGGCATGACATCATCTTGGGAATGCCATGGCTGCGAAGATTCAACCCCCAAATCAAGTGGGAAGCCAATACGATACAGATCAAGAGCGGCGAACGAATATGGACCCTCTACGGGATCAGAAAAATTGACGAAGATACGCGGAGGATCAACGCAATTACATTATCTGGCAAAGGCCTGACCCAAGCCCTCAAGAAAGGAGCAGAGACTTATGTGGCAGTGGTGCGGAACGTGCAACAAGAAACGACAACTAAAGGGAGATCAAACAACCCGATCAGAGATATGCTATTACAAGAATTTTCAGAAGTCATGAGTGACAAGATACGGTTGGTGTGAGGGGAAACCGCAGGGGGTATGAACATTAACACAAGAAAGGGGGTTTGTCTTGTATATTAACACGGGAGAAACATTGTATATTATAGGCACTGGACATTGTACAATAGGGACTCTTTAGAAGCGTTGTATAGTAGGGTTTACTAAGGACAACTGGGCTGGGTGATAATGAAATAGACAAAGGGGATGACTGCCGTATTGGTCAATACGGTAAAGGGTGGCGCTGAGCACCCACGGGTCGGTGAGACGAACGGACATGAATCGGGGAGGTTCAAATTACAAACTGGGCGGGTATGCCAGAATCTGGGTGACTCACCCAATTCTGGCATGACCCTTGGGCTGCCTTGGACATGGGGTATATAAACGGGAACACCGGAACACTTCTGTAACCAGGAAACTTGCCGTCAAGTTCGTCTCCGACTGGAACCCGAGTCGAACGGGTAAACGGGCCGAGTCCCGTCCAGCCTCGAAGGGCATTCGCCCCTTACAACTGGTTTCGGAGCCAGCGGAGTGCCCAAGGAGGCGGCGCTTCGTGCTGACCGACCCACGACCTGAGGCGGCGGGACACCAAGGCACAAGGAGAGCTGGGATTCCCTTGAAGGGTGGTGATACGGTTGCTTTTGTAGATGAGTTAGATGTATTTGATTACCCTAAATGGGTCTGAGTTGGGTAAACTAGCCTTGTGGTGGTTACAAAGGACATGGGACAATGAACGGAGCAATTAAAGACAATCTTGTATAATGTACAAATGTAGTAACCGCCCGGGGATTCCGACTCCCCGTTTCATCTGACCTGTGCGCCCGCGGGAGCAACGAAGCTCCCTGCATCATTGGTTTCGGAGCGCGGAGCGTTCGAGCGGCGAGAACACACCGGCCGACGGCCGGAATGGCAAGTGGGGATCCTCGCCAGGAGACTGGGAATCCGGGGGACCAATCGGCCGGGCAATTGGTGCCCTATCGAGGCGGGCCGACCCCCATGGAGCTGAATGGAAACGGTGGAGGAGTGACGGCTTTGCAGCACGGCGAGGAAGACGATCGACCGGAGCAGCTATTGCTGCGCCAAGTGGGGACTGTGGCCGCGGCTGCTGCGAGGAGAGCGACCCTTTTTGCGGTCACAGAATGGAGCCATTCGGCCGGGCAGCAGCAGAATGCCGCTCTCCGCGGCATGGGCGAGTCGCTCGGGCAGCAGCTCGAGCTGGCGGCGAATCAATCGGCCGCACAGCAGCTGCAGCAAGGCCGCGAGCTGCGCGCCTTGCAGGAAGGAGTGCAGGGTAGAATGGTCGCGCAGGAAGGGGCCATTTCGGTGATCGGCGCCGGGCTGGAAGGTGTGAGGCAAAGAGCTGAAATGCAAGCGAATGAGCTCGGGAGATTGCAAGCTGCTGTTCGAGGAGATTGGCTTCGAGCGGAAGAGTGGATCGGCACGGAGATGGACCGTAGAATGGAGCAGATGGGGAAGAGGCTCGCGGAAACGGAGAAGCATTTTACGGCAACCAACCAGAAGTTGGCGGATGAGGTGCACCTGGCG